GAAACCCTGGTTTCCTGCTGTGACAACGCAGTTGTCCGATTTAATAATGTCGCAGTTAAAAATGCATTTTAGTCGTCTGATTGCTTGTTTTCTTTGTCAGGCTCCATATACCGCAAACAAAATATTCGTGAGGATATTATCCCCCACTTTAGTGCCGGAACTGGATGCACTGTTTGTACACTACGCACCAATGGGTAGGTTGAGTTAATCCTTTTGCTCTAAGTTTAGTAAAGAGCAAAGGTTTGGTTGAATGCTTCCTGAATGATGGCGATATCCATTATTTACGGAGTATTTTTGCAGCAGCTCCCATGACTACTTCTCCTAAATGGTCAACGAAGCTCATTACGCATCATCGACCTCGTGGGTGCCCATACTCATTTTGCCCGGGTTCAAAGCAATCTTACCACTGTTGGCTAGTGAGGTAATGTCAGTAAGACAGATATGCTCGTCTGTGCAGCTGAAGATCTGAACCTAATGTGGCATCAGAAATCTCATTCGAATTATCGAGATTTCCAGTGCAGCCTATGTTCAAAAACCTACAAATATGAGGCGCGGCGCCGCGGACACATGAGGGCCAAACATTCCAGTGAATCTACTCCACCTTTGAAAACATCGATGGAACAAGTGCAGGAGTCAAAAGATGCGGGTAATCGATGTTCTGAATGTAAGAATTGCTTCAAATCCTGAAAATGTCTACAATCAATTCACAAGGGAGCAGGGGGCGCAGTTTGTGAGGAATTTGCTATGTCCTTCTCCCAAAAACATAAGCTACACAGACATGTGAGTACTTTGCACGGACAAGTGCAAAGTGGGGAAAATCGCTCAAGCATTCGTGCTATCTGAAGGAGCATATCAAGTAAGTGCATAAAGCTGCGTCAAAGTTTGAGTGTATCTCGCGAACCAACGATAGCCTACTTGCTGAAAACACGTTTACGCCGAAGACTTCAAACAAAAATTGCACGCGGTAAATTTTCCATTTCGACATCAGGGTGCGGGTGTACAGCAATAATATTCGTTCGTCGTATATTAATCAGTGGTGTGCATTGGTTGTAATGAATATCGAATTAGTTGAACACGTTCATTGTCGTTTATTTGTCCATTGGAAATGTGCTTTGGAATTTGACTGACTGGTTCCAATACAATATCCAATGTTAAAGATTGGAATAAAGCTTGCGGATAGGACGCCGGATTATTCATTGCCGGGATTTTTGTAAGTCTTGTGCTAAGACAATAGACTGTGGCCTGCAATCAACCGGTGTACCAACTTAATAGATCTCAGTAACACACTCGGTGCACTGAAACCAGAATTCTCAGGATTTTAATGGAATGCATGAGTGATGGATCCACTCACCCAAATTGAACATTCACGGTGAGTCGAAACTTGCTAACTGATTCTTGTGTGGAAATGTGTTTTCCTTCGTGTTTTGCTTACTAGCGCATTATTTGATCAATTCATCATTTCGGTCATTTCGGTGGTCGGTTGAGCTTCTTATCCACGTCTTCATATAATTTTGTGAAGGCTAGCTTAGAAGACTACCATAGAATCATAACCATGCTCCTAACATGAAAAAGACAACCACCACAACATTGTGTGGGCCATCAACCAGCGGTTTCATTGCTCGTAAACGGGTGCGATGATTTTGGCGTCACTTGCCTCTAACCTCGCGCAGATTTTGCTGCGACCCATTTGCTCCGTTGGGTAATCCTCAAGAAAGGATACTACATTCACGAATGGTTGATTAAATTTCGCAAGTTTTGCGCCTGCTTAAGGTACGCTTTATCCATTAATACGATAACGTATTCAATGTTTTTGAAGTGATGGTAGCCGAACTGGCATGCCTGGAAGTGTGAGGATTGACCATAGGCGATTTGGAAGGTTATCTTCTTTGTGACTGACCCGGTGCGCATTGAAATCTCATGGTGGCATATAATCTTAATATCCATTATCCCCCTAGCTCTCGATGTAACAAATCTCTGACCACAGATCTTGGCGATTTTTGCGACAATTTTCCACTTTTTTGTTTTTGGTCAGTAGAAGGATTTTGAACTATAGACAAGCAATTTATTCCGTTATAGTGCAACAGCAGTACTAAGCTGTGAAGCATGGTGGCCGGATTATAGTCTCGCGGTTTCCCTCATTGCAGACTGCATTGTCTCTTTCTGAGTGGACTCTACATGGCATTCATACACTCCTCTCCAAGTAGAATGCGCGGAATGCAACGTGCGTGTGGCCGGATTCGAAAACGCTCGAACGCAGAAGCGCTTTCTCTTCTAATGAGAAAGACTAGGATGACTCTGGGAAGTTTGAACGATTCTGCTTGGCCGGAAGAAACTGTGCCGTGATGCTGCACACACTCAGTAGTCATATAGAATCCTAGAATAACCTTATTGTCATCTACTTTGGAGGTAATTCATAGCCTGCCTGTTGTGTCGGGAAAATCTGTTTTCTCAGGGTTTTTCCAGGAGTTGAGGCTCTCTTCACTCAGGTTTGACATGCTGAGCGATTTCGGACAGAACATTTCTTCGCATGGTGGCCGCATTATAGTCTCGAGGTTTCGCTCACTGTAGATTACAATGTCTCTTTCTGATTGGGTTCTACAATTTATTGATTTCCGGGCAAGCGTCACGTACTTGGAGTATGGTTTTTTACATTAAAACATCTGATGACAAATGGATGTGCTTTGATGACAGCACAACTCATTTAACAACTAATGGATTTAGGTAATGCTGGGTTGTTCACGTGCACTTCGGAACTACGATTCACAAGTCTATTGGTCGCGCAACAATACCTTGCTTGAAGATTTGGGGCATGATGATAAGCAAAACCTAATGCCAGTTGAGTGAAGCTGAAAATTTTGTTCTATTTTAACTCAACCCAATAAGAGATCGTCACAGGCTAGAGATTCCGCTGGAATTTGGGCGAGTCTCACTTGAATCTATTTTTGATATACAAATGAGTGCAGTTGCCCAAGTTGAACGTCTTGCATCACGTTAGCTTATTTACGGTTTCATGTTACAATTCGGTTTTAACCCGCAAAACTCCAGGTTGTTTTGGGTCGCTAGCCTGGTCCTGAGTATTCAGCAGATACCAGGAGATTCTGTCTGTTTTTCGATCACAGATGTACAGGCTTTTCCTGCGGCATGAATCCAAGCTTGTGAAATGGAACTGCATAACAAATTTCGAAATCAACTTAGGTTTTCTAGCAAACAGAAACCTGGCCAACTATCGAATATTTTAAAAAGTGCCGTTTCCGTTGCAGACTTGTGGAACAATCAGTGGTTGTGATTGTATACACTGCATCCACGTTCTCACCCACAATCAATAAATGGTGGTCCACAATTTGATACTAACTAGATTTTGGTAATGTGGTCAAAAATTGGTAGCTCGGGTGAGTTTATTGGTTGTTGATCGGATGGCTGTTGATCTGTTCGCCGAGCTTGGCAATTGGCCTGCAAACGTTTCGCCACCATACGAGGAGACATCATCGGTGCGCGGTTGGGTGGGTACTTCTTCCTGCCTGCGTGTGTTTATATAGCAGTCAAAGGCCATCTGTTATCTTCTGACGTGATTGGCTACCTGAAGTGTAACGAGTCTAGTGAATCTATTGTTCCGTTTGTGATCCTTGTTGCGTTGTAGTCTATGTTCCTTTGTGCTGATTGGTTATCCCAACGGCTTCTAATTTTAGTAACTTGTTCTCTTTGGCCTTGATTTGCGTTGCGTTGTGGTCTGCCATTCTCCAGTTTGATTGGTTGCTTGTACCGCCCTATTTCCTCCACCGTGGCGGTTAGTGTCCCTGCGCCCGCCGGTTTATTTGGTGCTTTGATTGGGCGCCTCTTCCAATCCAGTTGATGTGTCCGTTTCAATGACGCTTTCTTGCTTCTTGTATGAGTTCCTCGTATGGTCGCTTTTGCAGCTCTAAGTTCTGTGTTTTTTGCGTTCTCTCGCTCTTAGTGGCTGGTAGATGGGATCAATTTCGATGTGTTTGTTGATGGCTTCTTCGGTGGAGTACCACGCCTCCATAAATTCGCATTCTCGTTTTGTTCTTGCTTGAACCATTATTCGAACGCCGTTCCAGTCGAGCTCGTGTCCTTCTTGGTTTTTGTGTGCGGAGATAAGGGAGAATTGATCGTGTCTTTTAGTGGCGAGTTTGTGTTCATGTATTCTGGCGGAGAGCTTCCTCCCAGTTTGTCCTACGTACCGTTTGTTGCAGTCCTTGCACTGGATCCTGTATATGACATTGTTCTTCGCCATTAGATCTAATTTCCCCTTTGGTCTTGATAGTGTCCTCCGCAGAGTATTCGGAGGCATGTAGGCGACGATTGTATTGTGCTGTCGTAGGAGCCCTGCCGTCATTTCAGCGGTGTTCTTGATGTACGTAAGTGTGACTAGTTTGCTTGCCGTATGTCCTGTTACATCGATCATATTTGGCTTCCTGAGTGTTCTCCAGATGAAATTCCTCGGGTATCCATTTTTCTGAAACAATTTATATAGGCGCTTTTCTTCCTTGATCTTGGATTCTGTTGTACTGCAGTGTGTCTTGATCCGCTTGAAAAGTGTCCGAATGCAGCTTCGTTTGTGGCAATTTGGATGGTTGCTGTGGTAGCTGAGGATTTGGTCCGTATGTGTCGCCTTTCTAAAGACCTCAGTTTGCAGTTGTCCGTTCGGCAATCTAGTGATGAGAATGACAAGGAACGCCAGTTTTCCGTTGTTTTCTTCCTCGGTTGTGAATTTGATGTCGTCGAAAACGTTGTTTAACAGTTGTCTCACTCGTTGCAGTTCGCTCCTTTTGATGATCACAAATGTATCGTCCCCGTAACGGATCCATATTTTGGGATTTATATCGCGCAACACAATTTGTTCCAACTTTTGCATTATGACTTCGGCAATGAATCCTGAAATTGGCGATCCCATTACAACGCAATGCAAATCAAGGCCAGAGAGAACAAGTTACTAAAATTAGAAGCCGTTGGGATAACCAATCAGCACAAAGGAACATAGACTACAACGCAACAAGGATCACAAACGGAACAATAGATTCACTAGACTCGTTACACTTCAGGTAGCCAATCACGTCAGAAGATAACAGATGGCCTTTGACTGCTATATAAACACACGCAGGCAAGGAAGAAGTACCTAACCAACCGCGCACCGATGATGTCTCCTCGTATGGTGGCGAAACGTTTGCAGGCCAATTGCCAAGCTCGGCGAACAGATCAACAGCCATCTGATCAACCACGAATGAATAAATTTTTGTTGACTGACCGGAAAATTCGAAGTCATTCATTTGTACCTGTGGTTCTTTGTTGCCATCTGGTTGATCTGACGAATATCTATTAGGAAAAGACAGTGGATCACATAAGTCAGAACGGATGATGAAACCCATACTATTTGGCCATGTACACTCGTGTTCATGGCGGACTCAACAGAATTACAGCTGAGTGGACTTCGAACGGTATATTTATCGTAAAGATCACCTGTCAAGCTCATTGCTGGTAGTGGGCTGTCTAGATCACCCTTTCAGATTTATGAGTTTTTTATGTCCGAAATCTTACTGTAATATCACGAACAGCGCACCAGTGGAAAAATGGGACAGCATTAACATCCAAGAAGATGAAAAGCAGAATGAAGGAAGAATCTACTCAGGATTCAGATGAGCCTTCTAGCAAAGATGACTAAAGTCGCAACCGAATACAGTTTATGACCTGGAGCACAATGCTGAGGGGCACCCGGTGACTGCGGTTATCTGATGTGCCAGGAGGAGACCGAAACTGACAGTCGGATTGTTTCCAACAATTTACTAATTGCTGTGTCATGTCTAGTAAAACGTATAAGGAGTGTCAGATTCCTGGAAGTAACCACTGAATGCCTGAAAGCTACTGAGAAACTCAACACTCTAGATGCTGAGCAGACAGACAACGCCACTCAATTCGCAGCGCGTCACAAATTCGTACCAGAACAAGACCGTCTGAGTCAGCATTGAACCGAGTGCAGACAGTGCCCTCTAATAAATAGCTTGAGGCCGTTGTAATTTCGCACTCGCTTGTTCGGACTATAGCTGTTGTGTCTGAGTCTTTTTCTCCGGCACTAGGCACTGGGTCGGAGTCAGCAGTCAGATACAATAGATTGGCGAATCAGCAGATATAAAAAGAAGTATTACTGAATTCATTCCAACCCACTAGGAAACTTGAGCAAATGGATTTCGAAATATTCAATCTGGTAACGCAATGCAGCCATGTGTTTGTAGGAAGAGGATCGGGGCATGTAACAACGACTTTCAGGCAAATAAACTCGGTTATCAAATTCACCATACGTTTCTCATATAAGAGTCAACATAATGTAGTAGCGGTTCCGTTGATTTGGTAACGCGATCCCAATGAATTGAATTTTGCAGATGGAGGTTAGCGTTTCCTGACCAATGAACCGATGGTTCCTGTTCCACATTTAATTCTCGGAAATCCAAAAAGCGAACTTGTTAAAATCGATGCTACATTCTTGTTTATCGTTTGAAAGTTTTTACATAGAGAGAGCAATAAACTAGTAAACACTCCCGTCATCAGAGTCAACTGCGTACATTGCTGCATCTTTGAATAGTGGGGACTTCGTCGAAATGATCAGTTGTGAATTGCCAGACAACCAGCCTGAAATTTTCCCAAATCCTTTTGGTTGGATCTATCCAACATTTCAGTCATCCGAAATAGGAGCGACGAAATTCCGGCAAGAGTTAATGCAGGCCAGGTTCGCTATTTTGGAGGCTTCTCTCAGAGCATACACGATTAAAAGTGATGTTGTTGGGCTTGTTTGTCGGTAAAGTAAAGGACACTGCGCTGAGAAATCTTCCACCGGTGAACGGGAATCGTTTGCCCGGGGCCAGGAACAAAACTTATACACTTCACGTTTTAGTGGAACGCACCATGAATTAGGATATAAATACGGTGAGCATGTGGCAGCAACCAAGGAACAAATCTAGCCAGATATCGGTTAGAAAATAAACTATTCAATTACGTTAGTGACGCACCGTATATCCTTTGCACTAGAGTGGACGTCGAGTACAGCGAAACGAGGCGTTATCAACCGGAATGACGAATGTCAAAATAATGGGAGACGAAATCGCATTGTGCTTACCCGTTGATAGATGGATACCGAAAACATTACTTTGTGGCTGAAGATATCAGACGCAATTGCGTCGAAGGCCGCGAACTACTTCTCAATTCCACGATGCCCTCTTCTTTATACGAACGAAAACTCTGTACTTGAGAGTTCCGTTTAGTCAGTAAAATAAGTAGAATACAATCATTTATGTGTCATCGACACAAACTTGATGCTTACACAACAGATCACACTTTGCTTAGTTAGTCAGCCTATCCTATCTGTAATCACGAGATAAACTTTGATTTTCCTCAGTGTTCGAAAATTCTGATGGTGAGCATCGAGTTAGTGTTGGCAAAACACTAGAAAATCCCAAATTTACCATTCTTCGTATTTTCGCTGTCATGCGACCACCCATAGTATTTATTTGAGTATTCTGAGTACGCAGGGTACAGATATTTCAGGTTATTCTACATTCACTCACTTGGGCCTATAGGAACAAAGGCTCTTATATGGCAATGCTTGCGGAATCCAATCACACCGTTCTCTACACAAAGGTGTTCTGGAATAGGACATAGTAAACGACTAAGAAGACGGCCAATCGCCGTGACTGAATTTCTTATTGGCCGGCCTTTCATGAAAAAACGAGTGTTGTGTTGTCGGGGGCCACAGATATGAGAGTGATGTACTCGTAGACAGGACGTAGTAAATTACACCGAATGGTTCAGCGTAGCCGGATCAATCGAACTTCTTCGGGAAGAATACCTTTTGATTGCACATGGATTTTACTTTCGCTGATGTTTCTGCGAAATTCGGCAGTGGCACAAAATCACTGTGAGTTTAAATCGAATTATCCTAGAGGAATTAACTGGCGGACCATCAGTATTTATTTCCTTTGACATGTTCACGTTTCGCAGTACGTTTACAAAATAATACATGCATTTATTGTCCTCAAATGTGGAAGATTGTATAGGTGATTAACTGAACTGGAAATGAGGACATAACATTATCACAGTACAATCTCGCGTGTGTGTTGTGTGTCACGACGAGACTCCCTTGTTTTGAAAATTGCGTCAACGAAGCGTGAGTGGTCTTTGTGCAGCACGTTTGTGGAAGAATGTAAAAAGCGGTGAATTAAGCCGAGCGCCTGATATACACCACTTTTAGTTTCAAATGATTATATTTCATCATGTCGTTCTTGTACAAGAAGAACGTGATACGGTGGGAAATTCACGGACTGTATATTTGCTGAAACCGTAGAGGGTTAAACATGATTATAAAAACGCCATATTTTGGAACTAACAACAGAAGTAGTAATAATCGCCCAGGTGTCACACCGTTTCAGTGCTTAGACGGTGTGCAGCTCAATGGAATTACGAGCGGTGTGATTCCGTCAGGTTGCCTTGCCGAAGCCAACGGGCAAGAGCCAAGGACAAGAGCAGCCGAGATATCAGTGGGGTTTGGTTCGAGCCACGGACATCCCGGGTAGTAGATTTGCGCCTCAATCTGTGAGCTCAAACATATCTGTTGGAATACAGACTGTTAACACGAACCACACGACATACGGGCAGCCGATATGTGCTGTAAATTCTAGTTCTTCACATTAGTTCGAACTCAACAAGCGAAATACGGGTGGGCTTGAAGAACACAGTGGGAAAGTTAAGTTGACAGGGAGCATGTAAGCCGTTTTAAATTGTTCCGTTATGCGCGGCTTCGGGGAAGGTTACGCTAGCGAATTATAGCTGGGATGGTTCAGTTCAATGGAATTCTCTACCTGATATGCGTTTAGGGATTAGATGGAAAATAGTTAATTTGCTATGGAATGCCTGAGAAATCTTTAGCTGGTTTGATTCCCGTATACTTCAACCAAAAAAGCATGCATAACTTGCTTGACTGTGGTGGACTTAACAAACGTTTACCGTGTTTTAGGGTCATAATACCTGGGATATCATATTAAATCTTTGTCGACGTGCATACTGTGCCGTTTACGCAAACGTACTAAGTGAGGTAGGATGTGACACCAGGCTACCCTGTATGCACCAACCTAGTTTGTCCGATTTGTGAATACCGCATTTAAAAGGCTATTTGCTTTGTCTGATTGTGAGCCTTTAGGGCTTTAGTAAATAAAGCCGGATATCAAGGCTTCATGATGCTATTTGTTATCACTTTAGTGTCGGAACTGGACACATTGTTTGCACACTATACGCCATTGAGTAAGTTATTACATGGTGCCGAAATCGTTTGTATCATGCCATTTTGCCTTTGGTGAACAATAATGCTTTGATTTGTCCAAATACGCTTTTAATGACGGAGTATTTTCATCTCCCATCTCGTCAGACTACTCATGAGTCGCGAAATAGATATATTTACGCACATCTGAAGAAATCAGATACGGGTGACATTTTGCCATTCATAAGCTCAGCAGGCCCTACGCCACCAGGTATGTGTCGTAAGGTTGGGTACGCAGTGCATTATATGCGTTGGCTGTTCAACCATGCATCCAAAGGGACATACGCACAAAGCATGGGGATGCGTTCAAATCATTAATACAAAATCCATGCTAGGATCCTGAATGCGAACAAGAATGAACATGGTTCAGTGTCTCTGAGTAATGGGCTGGGGTTATCCCATGGCAAAAATTAGATAGCTTGATCGAGCCTAAATCTGTTGAACAAATATGGAAATGGCCCACTTCTGAAGCTTTCTAAAGTGATCACATATTCAGGCAGTGAATGACCGGTTGAATTTTGTGAATGGTGGACAGGAAGTGGTCAAACGCACTTAGTCTAGAATGCGTTTGAAATGCGATCATAATAAAGTGTCTTGAAGAGTGTGGCGCTTCGTAGTGTGAGAAGTCAGAACTATATCTTAATATATGGTAACAATGGAAGCCAAATCATCACTCCATAAATGTCAGCCTCAAAATAGCTCTGCTACTGGCAAATTTCAGATAGTTTCTACGGTAAACCGTTAGTCTGTTGACAGGCCGGATTACTGAGAAAGCGAAACGGTGTGCTTAGGTTGCCCTGATCTCTAATTGTGCTATCTGATGCGAGTGACGTATAGGCGTCTTTGAGTACAACAAGGAAGTGGTCGCTAGCGTCAAGGCAAAATGGCCTACATGCTGCCCGTTATGGTTGATTCTGTTTTCGCCACAGTGAATTGGTTTCTAAATTTTCCCCCTGATTTAGGCTCCATGAAGTACGTCAGATTGAACTCATTGGTCCCGATCCAACTTTACAAA